GGTTTATTGTAAAAGGATATAACTCAGGAACATCCAGATGGAAGAAATACACAGGGCAAGGTCAAGGGGCTTTCATGCTCTCTCTGAGAGCACCACTCTCCCCACATCAACACGTGTTCACTCACCAACTTGGCAACTCTCCCAGCCTTATCCTTTTTGGTTTTTTATGGAGGTTTCATTATATAGGCGTGATTGATTAAATTATTGGCCATTGGTGATTAAGTCAACCTCCAGCCCCTCTCCCAGGGGGCCATGCACTGGGACTGAAAGTTCCAACCCTTCAATCACATTGTTGGTTCTCCTGACAACCAGGCCCCATCCTTAGATGCTTTCCAAAAGTCACCTCATTAGCATAAACCCGGCTGTGGTGAAAAGGGGCTGGCTATGAATAACAGGACACCCATTTCATCTTTATGGCTCTGAAGTGATTTCAGTAACTGAAAACAAGAGACCAAATATTATAGTAAAGGATGCTCCCCTTGCTCTTACTGTTTAGGAAATTCCAAGGATTTGGGGACCTGTGAGCCAGGAACTGTGGACAAAGAACAAATATATATGAAAAATATATTTTGGTCACCTGAATGACCAAATACCTATTTCTTATAAATCACAATATTGCAATAGCCCAGTGGTTCATAGCCTTGGCTGCACATTAGAATCGCCTGGGACTTAAAAAAATGTAAATAACCAGGCCCCAAACTAGGTCAATGAAATCAGAATCTCTGTGGGTGGGGCCCAGGCATTTTTTGTAAATCTTAGGTGATTCTAATGACTCCTCCGCTGGATAGGGCTGTCTACTTTGCCTTGTTTATATTTGTGAATCTGACTTTTTCTCCTCTCTCTGAGGGCATCTGAGGATTTAAGATGAAGTAACCACATAGGTTTTCTAGTAAGTATATTTGTGGCTGAGACCAGCTTCCAGTTCAGACTGTCTGTCTCACCAAAAGATCAGGCCTATTTGGTGTGAATGGGAGCTGGACAAGGGTATGAACACTAGCAGTCAGAGATCCCTGGGGGCCATGTTAGAGTCTCCCTCAGATACATGCCTTAGTTTGTCTTCCAGCTAGTAAAAATCCCAACCAGCCAACCAACAAACATCAGACCCTTGTCCTAGGATTGCGATGGCTGAGCCCCAATTCCGGGCTGAGCATTACATCATGGTTTGCATGGCTTCCCAGTTTCCACCAAACAATACTAGTGGCAAATGGGTCAGGAGTGTGGGGAAATATTTTTTTTACAGCAAGAGTTGACAAACTTTTTCCATAATGGACCAGGTAGTAAGTTATTTACGTTTTATGGGACAAGAGGCAGAATTGAGGCTGTCATAGAGGTTCTCATATAACAGAAAACTGTCCTGCCCGCCTACCCAATTTGCCTGGGGTGGGCCATCCTCAGTGATGGACATGCCTGATACCCAGTAGCCATCAGATGGAGACATTCTCAGGACACAGAGCCACTGGCCTGATGGGGAGGGGCTTGATGGACAGTGTTGGGAGAGGGCTGGCTACCACAGTCAGCTTTGCTCTGCCTGTGTCACCCAGACCCTGGAGCTAAAGTCCTGTCAGCTCAACTTGGGCCACTGGCCAGAGGGGAGGCAATGCTGAATTGCTGACTCCTGAATTGGGATTCCACTCCTTGGTCTGCAGCAGGTGCCAACAGCAAAGTCCCCAAACATGTAGGTGGTGACCAGCATGAGCCCTGGGCAGGGGCAAGATGCAGCCACCAACCAAGGAGGCTGGTGCTGGGAGTGGAGGGCAGAACAGAGGCCAGCGCCACATATGACTTTCGTGGGCTCCTTGTACTTTTGCTGTCATGGGCCCTTCTTCCATTGAAACATAAAGGATTATATTTTATAACTGTGTTGGTATAAAGACAAATACAATTCAGATTTGAGTGTATTTTTTTCTTTTGATTAAAAAATATATATTTTTTGTGGGCCCCTAAAAGTATTGTGGGCCCCAGGCCCTGTGAGTACTGTGCCTAATGGGCAAGTTGGCCCTGACCTGGGTGGAGGGGGCCACCAAGCTTGATCTAGCATGTAGTCTAGATCCATAGACCTTCATCAGTTATACATGTTTGGGGAAGAGGGTCTTCAAATTAGTTAAGTGTTCTGGTTAACCCATTAACCAGGAATCTTTTTTCTCCCCCAATAGGCTAAAATCATTGTCTGTATTTGGTGACTAAGATTTTACAGGATCTCCTTTGAGAGTGTGTGGGAAGAATGGGTGTAGTGGGAAGGTGGGTGAGGATTACATTTTGAATGTCAATTTTCTCTACTGGGATGTATCTATAAAAGGAAACATCTAGGCCGGCCAAGTGGCTCAGTTGGTTAAGAGCTCGCTCAAGAATGTGAGCTCTGAGCAACAGGGTCGCCAGTTCAATACCTGAGCTGAGCTACCAACAGGTGGCAGAATGGCTCAGCTAAAAAAAAAAGGAAACATCTATATCTCTATACATGAAATGCCCAGAATAGGCAAATCCATGTAGACAGGAGGTATAGTGCCAGAGGTCCTGAGTTTCTTTATGGGGTGATAAAAATCTGGAATTAGATTGTGGTGATGGTTGCACAATTCTGTGCCTATACTGAAAATCACTGAATTGTACACTTTAAAAGGGTTTATTTTATGGTATATGGATTATATCTCAATAAAGCTATTATTAAAAAAAGTAAAGAGATGCTGAAACTTTACTGACCTCAGCACACCCCTGAAACTATCTTTTCACAAAGGAACACTTTTGAACTTTATACATGATTTTCCTTTTCTCCTAAAGGCAGAGAGAGCCTGGGGACAGTTATGCCCTAGGATCTGGGTCAAGTTCACAAGTTCAGCCACCCCAAGAATCCCAAAGTGATCATCTGAATCTAGCATCTTGCTCCAAATAATCCTAAATCTGCTAAAAATCCAGCCCAACACTGATATATTGTTCCTAAAACAAATAATTCAGGTTTGAGACTCTGATTTGATCAATTTTAGGATTTAGTTCCAATTCTCTGAAAAGATGAAAAACCAGTGAGGACTCATGGCCATTTTCCTCTAAGGGGGGGAAGTGTTCTTTCAAATGACTTACTATTTTCCCTCTTACTATGTCCTCTCACTCTCTGACAGCCCCAAGTAAAGGGGCCTGCAGGTGGAGGGTCCTGACACTGGGAGGCAGACCAGAACCCCCACACCCCAGCCTGCCTTTGGCTCCCCTGGGTGTGAAGTATAGGGGTTCAGCTTGGGCCAGGAGAGTAAATTCCTCTGTAGAAGGCAGGGTATTGGTGGGAGCTGTCTGCATCCTGAGTTGCAACTTGGGAGGATATAGCTAAAGAAAGGAAAGCATGAGTGGAGGGCTTCTTTTGTGAATAAGGACCTTCACATGCATGCTGACAATTGTTTTACAAGGCCTGGTTCCTTTTAAGCAGGTGTCTAAATATTTTTAGAACAAATATGCAAAATGGGCCTTCTCTGGTACTACACAGGTACGGATAAGCAGAGGGGCTCATGAGTTGAAATAGATCTTCCTCTCTGTGAAGGGGAAGAGGGATCAAATATGAGCGTGCCGCTTGTTGGGCCCAGACACAAAGGGACACAGGTTGGTTGGGAACCTACCTGCCACGGTGTCTGATTTGAGAGGCAGCGCTGACAGCATGTTCCACGTACCAGACACATTTCTGAGCACTTTACATACCAGAGGTGCCAAAAATATGTATACAAGTGGACACGTTGGTCAACATTGCTCAAGCAGTAGTTCGCCATAATCAGAAGTGTCTGGATGCTGATGGTAACCACTCTTGAGCACCTCTTGTAATTGCAGAAGTCAAACGTGACTTGTATTCATCTTTTGTTATCAGTATTTATATACTATTACAATTTTAATAGTTTGTCCCTTTTTAAAAATGTGTATACATGTTTTTGGCACCCTCTGTATATTCACTCCTCTACTCTTCAGCATAGCCCATGCCATTGGTACAATCATTACCCCCATTTTAAAGATGAGGAGACTGAGGCATGGCGAGGTTATCATGCCCAGGGTCAGACAGCAAGCAAATGGCAAAGCCAGGACCGGAACCCAGACAGTGCCCACTCTTCCTTGCTATATGGTTTATGCCATTCACGATGTCCTTGGACGCCTCCTCTGAGAAGGCTCAGGTAAACTTCAGCGCTCTTACTGCTCACTTGGAAGAGGTGGCTTACGGAATTACTCCCCTTGATTTGACCACATTGAACAGCGGAATCACTGAGGATGAACCTCAGCCCCCAAACATCCTCCATAACAGACGATCAAGACAGCCACACTCCAGATGGGAACCAAAATGTCACTAGGTAACAGGCCCCATCAGGCCCTTGATCTGTGCCAACGCCCTCCTCATCCCTTGGAACCTTGCCCAGAAATCAAAGCCAGGTCCTGTACGACATGAAGAGCTGAAAATGTCCAGGTTCAGAAAGGGGACCCGTTTATTCAGAAGCCCCAGGGAGTGGAAACTAACCTTCCAGTGTGAGCTTGTAGGATAATCTTACTATAAAAGACTCTTAAATTCCCTAATTGTGCTGGAATGTGGTGTTGCTAGAAACGAGATTATATAAAAGAATGGGCTGGGTGTGGTGGTGAAGATGGTAGAGGGATGGGCAACTGCTTTATGCTGGGACTTTCTCAGTAATCCTATGGAGCTTGGCTCTTGGTTTACAATAGATGCTCAGTTAAGTCCCGTTGACCTAGTTTGTCTAACAAGCCTTAACTTTATGGAAGTAGGGGGCAAAACTGCTCACTTTTTGCAAGAACCCTGCAACGTGAAATGGGAGAAGCCCAGGGGCAGCTGGGCTTCACCAGCTACGGCCTCCTGAGTGAGCACCCCACAGCAGTTTTGCCCACCAGAGCAGACCTACCCTGCCTCAGGGGGTCATGCTGGCTAAAAGCTAGAAAAAAAAATCAATTCAGTTACCCACAGGCCATCCCCTAGAAGAACTCCATCAGTAAATGCCCCTTCAAAACAAGAAAGGAATAAAGGAACATGCAGATCCTAGTAGAAATACTGTATTTATTTTGGAGGACGGCTATGTTTAAGGCAAATCTCACACATACAAAACAGTCAGACGAACAATATTTGAACAGTTTTTACAATGTGTTAGAAGAGGGGACATCTTCAGACAATGTGAAAGTGGGATTTTCCCCAGCTGGGTCACTCCGGGTCTGATTCCATTTGTGGATTGAGAAACAGGAAGAGAACAGCACCTTCTCCCTCCCAGAGGAAGGGGAGCTACCACCATCAGGATGTTACATGGAAGAATCCTTCTCCAGGCCACAGCGCTCTCCTTGATGCATTTCCAGGTCCAGGATAGAAGAGGTGCAGGCACTGGGTCTAACTGTCCAGCTCTCATTTCCACGTTTTGTGAAATTCACTACTAAAAACAGTAAAAATCAGGATGCCGAAGACACACAGTTTATAGTTAGGTCACCTCTATCTAAACTCAAACTTGTTTGATTGGAGCTAAACCAATAATACATACACACACAGAATAGGCATGTACATACACAGCCATATGTATGTGGAAGAGGGAAAGAGGAAGTGTGCTAGAGCCTGAAAAGTAGTGAATGCTCATTTACAGTTTGGAATCAAACAATGTGATTGTTTCCCTTTTGAAAAATTCAAGGTATTAGCAACAAGCTCTAGCAAGAGGGTAAAGGTTTCCAGGCATCTCTCAGCTCAGTTCCTGGTCATTCCTGGCTTCACAGAAGGGAGTGGCTTAGCTGGTATAGAATTGGGAGGGAGCTGGGCCTTCCCACTGGCCGGGTCAGCTCTGTGTCCCACGGCTCTTCCCCACTCCTTTTGCTCAGGCGCAGGCCCCTAATTTTACAATGGAGGAGCTTGACTGCTTCCGTCCCGTCCATCCATTCTCACCGCAATGGGACACACATCGTGATGGTGTGTTCCCTTCTGTAGGGCCTGGGTGACAGCAAAACCACAGCAACAGGGAAAACAAAGGAATGAGCGAGGCTGATCGTTTGGGAGCTTTGATGGCCTGCTGTGGGGTGGCAGAAATGGTGCCTGGGCCTGGGAGTCTCAGGGAAGTCTGGTACCCAGAAATGCGACGGGAGGTGGGATGGTTCATTCATGAACATTTGAAGGACATCGGGAAGAGGCTGCCTTTGATGCTATCAAGTTACTACAAAGAGAGCAAGTGGTGTGATGAAAGCGGCTAATGCACACAGAGAACACAGCCCTGCCCATAAGCGCTGTCTTCACCAGGAGATCCAGGCCTATGAGGAGAAAGGTACCACTTAGGCACAAAATAAGAGCATAGGGGTGTTACGGTAGTACTTGATATCCAAGAAGTGAAATGATTGTCTTCATGGATTCACTCAGTTTGCCTCACCAAATCCCTCTGAGGTAGGAAAGAGGCAGGTGACATCAGCCCCATTTTACAAATGGGGTGAAGTGAGGCCCCAGGACTCGCTGCAGGTCACACTTCAGATACACACCAACAGCCACAGTGCTACAGCAGTCTTGTGCCTGAAAAGCCTTCCCTGTCCCTGGCAACACTGGTCTTCTCCACACAGGCCCTCATCTTGATTTAAACTGAACCAACAGGCGTCTGGAGGAATGTGGACATTTGGCTTATAAACTATTATGTACTGGCAGGAAGGGAAACCCAGTCCCCAGAAATCAGCCGAAGCTAGGGCATCTGGGGACCTGGGAATGGGGGCAGCCCACCCCAGTTACTGGGAGGATTTGCGGGGGGGGGGGGGGTTGTGTGTACATTCCCCTCCCGCCTCCAGAAAGCAGCATTTTAGGGAGGCTCTAGTTGAATTAAAAGAGAGTGATAATCTAACCAGGGTCCTGAATGGGATGACCACATCACACCTCCCCAGAAAAGGCTCCACTCTGGCCTGCTGCCAAATCAGAGAAGATGGGGATAAAGCTATAGTATTGTCAGATGCCCAGGTCAAGGTGCCGTAAACTTCCCCAAGCCTGGGATGAGAATGGGGATAATTGTGTATGTGTCCTGTCCTAATTAGGTTGCTTCCTTTTCCCCTGCAGGCTAGACTCCCCCTCCTTTCTTTGACCTCAGAATTTAGATTGTTTACTTAGTGCCACTGACCAGAGAACCCAGCAGTGCTGACACCATCTGGAGTACTTCTAACTTGACAGTGTGCAGAGCCTGCAGCCCACTAGCAGTCAGTGAACCAGGAGGCAGCCACACCTAGGTGTAGTACAAACTCTTAACATCTAGAATCCCAGCTCAGTGAATTCCAGCCAAGGCTAGGAATTTGGGAATTTTTCCAATTACTACAGCTCACAAGGCAATGTGACATGACTGCAAGCCTCCTGGGTTTGCCCGGAAAGCACCCAATGTAGAGTGACTGACTGGGTGCAATGAAGAGTCCATCTGCATTTTTCCAAGCCTTAACCACCAGGTCCCCATGAACCTGTTGTTTCCCAGAGCCTAGCCCCTCAAGGGCATGTTTCAAACGGAGCCTGGTGCACACATAGTTGCACCTGGATGTGGATCAAGCTAAATGTCAGGGTGTCCTGGTCCTCCATAAACAGTTCTCGCTGGGAAGCCCAATGCCTGTGCCGAGAAGTGACCCTCAAACTGGTGATTGGGCCAAAGTATTGCCCGGGAGGCTAAAGTCAGTGAGAGCAGTGCCTGGTGGCAGTGGCAGTGGCGGGGCACCACCATCGGCAGCAAGCCTGAAGCCCAGCCCCATCACAGAACTGACTCCTTGGACTCCAGTTCTGGGGTGCTGGCCGCAGGGCCAGTGGGGTTCTGGTGTGTCACCAGAGGGGACGTCTCCTCCTCCGACTTGTAGTTGGGGATGGCTTCCACTTTCACCTCGCTCAGTTCCTGCTCCCCCTTCTTCATCGCCTTCTGATTCAGGTAGTGAAGAATGCCTGCACCCAGGGCGTCCCCTTCCACGTTCACCACGGTGGTGGTACGGTCCCTGGTGGGAAAAGAACAAGGCAGGCATTATGGCCGATGCCGCCTGGAGCTCCCAGGGGGACAGCGCCGTCACAGGAGGCTGAACCGCTGTGGAGAAGCCGTGACCCTGAGGCTCCTGGAGAGCATGCTACCAAGGGCATAAGGCCTTGTTTTCCTCTAACCTGATTTTCTTTTAATATTTTTTATTCTTATGAAAGTCATAGATCCTTACTGTGGAAAACTAGGGGGAAAAGAGAGAAGTATAAAGAAAAAACAGAAGTCACCCACCTACATTTCACAACTCTGAGTAAATCAGTACTAACATTTAGATCTGTTTCCTTCTGGTCTTCTTTCTATGCAAGTATTTTATGTGTAATAGACATCGTCATATAAAAATCACATACAATTGGGATGATAGTGTAGATACGGTTTTGTGTCCAACTTTTCTTCCACTCACTGTTACACTGTGGGAGCTTCCCTTCTTTTTCTCATCTCAACACTACATCTCTACTGAATATTAACCGTCATATGCGTTCTGTGGCCATTGGCAACAACACCTCACAGAAAATAGCATGGTCCTTTCCACAAGCTTGTCTTCCCATAGATTAGCCCAGGGGTCGGCAAACTGTGGCTCTTTGGGTACGTACATGTGGCTCTGAAGTAAAATTGAAAATGAAAATAAAACTATCATAGTTTCATTTATAAATTTTTTAAAGGCTATTATTCACCTAATGGTGATTTCATTTGTTTTATGGCTCTCGAATAATTTTTTTTTTTTTTTTAGCTGAGCCATCCTGCCACCTGTTGGCAGCTCAGCGGCAACTTAGCTCGGGCCGGGAATAGAACCACAGTTGCTCAGAGCTCGCACTTTTGAGCGAGCTCTTAACCAACTGAGCCTCTCGGCTGGCCCTCGAATAATTTTTAAATTGTTGTGAGGGACAGGATTGGCTCTTCCATCTCAAAAGTTTGCCGAACCCTGGATTAGCCCAATAACCATCCTTTGTCCCTGGGGCTCAGAGGGAGTATTGTGCCCACTTTGAAGAGATGGGGAAAAATGTGAACTTGCCTAAGGGTACTGGAGAAGCTAAGGGCTGTGGAATCAGAGGCCACACGGTGGTGGGGGGCTCGTGTGACTTCAGGTCTCTCCTGGGCAGCCCCCCCTGGTGCCTACTTTCCTATTCCCAGTTGAGCGTCTCTTAGATGCCTGCCTTCCCCATGCAGACGAGGAAGGAGATGGGGCCTCTGACCCTCGGCTCTGGTCCTGTCCTCCTCACCAGCTCAGGGACTGCGTTCCCTCTAATGAGTTGTCTAGCCTGGCCAGCAGTACCTAATTCACTAATGCTTACTGCATGCTTTCCCATGTGCCTGCAACTCTTCTATGTGCTGTGCATATGTGAACTCATTTAATCTCCACCACAGCTCTGGTGTAGGTTCTATTATTATTCCCATTTCACAGGTGAGCAGGCAAAACACAGAACAGTCCTATCACACATGTAGTAAAAGGCAAAGCTGGCATTTGAACCCAGGTCCTTGGGCGCCAGGGCTCATTTCCTTATCCATATGCTCTACTGTCCAACACTAGTACCTCAGCTGACCTTCCCTATAAAACAGCTATTGTTCATATCTGAAAAAGTTATCATGCAACTCACGAATCAACACTCAGAAACTGTTTCGTCTTTCCAGGAACCCTGGTGATGGCAGTCTAGATCATAACTTTCCAAATCCTCCCGGGAGCCTAAGCCACGGCGCCCACATCCGCTGGGTTCATCTTCTCTTCCCTCACAGAAATCACTCTTTTGGACTTTCCAGGCCAAGGACAATCATTTTCGAAGGCTCACTACTTCAATGGCTATGACTCCTATGCAGCCAACAATCTTCACCGATGTTCGTACCCCGCCTGGGCCTGTGCTGGGGGCCCAGCCTGGGCCTTGGCCCCACACTTCCTGGATGCTCTAAGCAAGTTCTCAGTAATGACATTTCATAGTCATTCATGGGCCTTTGACGCTCATGTTGTTTAATTTTTCCTAGCTCTAAATTTTGTCTTGCCAGCACAACGGTGGGCTCCTTCACCAGGCAGGGAGCATGTTTGAAGTTTCTCTGCATGCCCCAGGCCTAGCAGAGTGCCAAGCTCCTGAGGACTCAATACAGACTTTCCTTTGTTCGGTGCCCTTAGGACTTGCTACTTACACAATCCAGTCCACAGCCAGAATCAGAGAGAGGTCATGAGTGGGCAGCCCAATGGCCTCCAGGATGATGGCGATGGTGAGGACCCCTCCAGCTGGCACGCCTGCTGCTCCAACACTGGATGCTGTGGCCGTCACTCTAGAGGATGGCACAGCAGGGGCAGCCATTAACACAGAGCATGGGGTGAGCACAAAGAAATGCAGCACATGGCAGCCACGGCTTGGAAACTGAAAAGCACACACTCCTACATTCTGCAGGGTGAACCTGTGAGAGATAATCCAATCTCTTCAAATAATGAATTCACCCTATGCTCATTTCATAAATGAGACACCCGAGTCATGACAAGATTGGAATTTATCAGGTGTTTTTTTTTTTCCCAAAGGAAAACAGAAGAAACACCTCAAGTTTTGACCTAGGCCTAAAGATGAAGGAAGGAATAATGAACTTACAGAATGGTGAAAATCTGTCCTGCTCTCAGCTCTACATTGTTGAGCTGGGCAATGAACACCGCAGCCACACACTGGAAGATGGCTGCTCCGTCCATGTTCACAGTGGCCCCGATGGGGAGAATGAACCTGCTGATCCTCTTGTCTACACCATTGTTCTCTTCAATGCACTTTATCATAGAGGGAAGGGTTGCTGAGCTAGAAATGGAAAAGTAACCAGCCATGAGAACAGTCCTTCCAAGGGTAACATATTACTCAGCTCAGACCACGCACGGAACAGAGCAATGAGCACCGTCCTAATTTCTGGCTGTCTCTCTTGAAATAAGAGAATCAGATTTGTTTCAAAGTTTCTATCACAATGCGGGGTTTTGTCAACTCCCAAAGAATTCAAAATCTGACTCCCTAGTTTTACCTGTTATTTACCTGGATACACCTGTGCCAAATTTCTCAAGAACCACACATTGCCTCATGCTGTAAAATGTTCTCAAGAGAACAAAGAACTATTGACTCCATATGTGCATCTCCTCCCATGAATGGTTTTTCGCCTCACAAAGTACAAGGCAAACTAGGATTTTTTTCCCCCCCTTTTAGGCCAAGAAGCAGAAATGGCTCTGAGAGTTTAGAAAGAGTGACTCTGTTCACAGATGACTAGAAAGAACAAGACCTGCTCTCTGCAGCTGCCTCTACAGGCTTCGCAGAGGGTGGCTGGCACAGTTGAGAAGTAGGTTTGTTTCTGTCTAAGTCAGAGATACTTACCTCCCTGATTCTTTTTATCACCACTACTTTGTCATATAAATAGTCTTTCAGCAGGGGAGGAAACATGCGGTACAGAGGCAAAAACTAAATGTGAGAATGAAATGATGTGCTGCCATCCTTTGAAAGTTTTCTTTGATGTATTCGGAAAGCCCAATTTTTTTTTAAAGGATTTCCAGTAATGACAAGGTGTATCTTTTGTGCTAACTTACATAATCCTATAATACTGTAGATTCCTAGAGAGCTGAGCATGTATCCCTCACCGTGATGCCGTGGTCTTATTTTCTTTTTAGCTTTCTTTTTTTGCCATGGTCTTACTTCCTAATTCACACATCCAGAGGGAGAATTAGGCAGTTGTCATTCTAGAAACTTCCCTGCAGTGTGTTGTGCGTGAAGTGACTCACGCAAAGGCCTTACCAATTAGGGTGAGGACCCACAGTTCCTATGGCTAAATAAGGATCTGGTTGACCTCCAAGGAGCCAGAAGGAGAAGGAATGAGGCAATCCCTCATACAGGCAATCCCAGAAATCTGCTCCTATAAGTAAGAGCTGTGGGGCTGGTAATACAAAATATCAGATGAGATCAATTTGGAGTTTTCAAAACTAATATGTCAAGATGCCAGTGCTGGCTGTGCATCTACCACTGGGCTCACCTGGTTCCCATATTAACATGGTTCAGAGCAGCCAAAGGGCACCCGAAACCCACTCACCTAGAGCAGGTGGCAAATGCTGTTGCAAATGGTGTGAGGAGGCCCAGGAGGAACCTGAACGGGTTTTTTCGTGTGAAAACAAAATATGTAAGTGGCAGGACAATTCCTCCATGAATAAAATGGCCCAATATAGATGTGAAGATATATTTCCCAAGGCTGGTCACGAGCACGATGATGTCCTTCATTTCCACAATCTTGCTTCCAACCAGGAACGTGATGCCCACAGGTACGTACCTAGGGCATGAGCACAGGGTACTTGTCAGTGAGGGTGATGTGATGAAGGTGCTGGGAGGTGTAGGTCCTTCCTGATACAGAAAACAGGCACTTTCAACTAGGTGATCTTCATTTCTCCCTCAGATGACCCTGAGGAGCAGAAAGGCCCATTTTACAGGCCATGAAACTGAGTAAAATGAACATGCTACATCACCATGTGTAATGGAGTCAGGACCAGAAACCAGACTACTTCCTCCTTGGATATAGCATGTTCTTGCCAGATAGATGCTACCAGCCGTATGTGCTCCCAGGTGGAAAGGCAAGGAACACGTCAAGACTGCTGTCTGGGGCTGTAGCTTGACTGCTGGCTTTGCTTAGGCTTGTTCTGAGAACTTAGAAACACAAAAGACTAATACCTATTTAGCAGAATTGCTGTGATACGGAACTGAGATAAAACTGGGACTTTTGTGAAGTTTTAAATTCTTTGTGGTTTGGAAAACATGATTCCGTGGGAAAAAATCATGAACAATGACTCTCAGGAAAACACTCCTGGAGCGTGAAGATTTTTTTTAACGGGGGATGGGAAAAAGGAAGGGAAGGAATAAATGGGCGCTACAAAGAACCAAAGTCAGTTGTTTTGAATTTAATATAAAATGAGGAAGAGGTTTATAATCATTGACTTTTTGGGTAAATTTTAACTATGTAGTTAATAATGTCACATAGTTCAAATTTCAAAGGGTATAAAAATATGAATAGTATAAGGTCTCCCTTCCACCTCTGTCTCCCAAGCACCCAGTCTCCTTCCCTGGAGAAAGCCAACATTACTGGTTTCCTGAATTTTTTTTCCAGATATAGTCTAAGCAGTATTATTAATTTAAAATCCCATAATAACACATGAATACATTCTCCTTTTGAAAAATTACAACATTATAGATTAGGCCCAAATCCTCTCTAGGCACAACCCTCAAGCCAGGAATCCCCAACCCCCACCATAAACATTCCTACCTCCTATGCATTTAGATACATAGGTATGTATTTAACTCTATGTTTACTTTTATTTTTTAATTTTTATTTTTAAAGGAGGACACAGCTCACAGTAGCCCATGCAGGGATTGAATCGGCAACCTTGGTGTTACTAGCACCACACTCTAACCAACTGAGCTAACCGGTCACCCCTCTGTATGTTTACTTTTTTTTTTTTTTTTAAGATTTTATTGGGGAATTGGGGGAGGGGAACAGCATTGGAAGTCGGGGAATGGGAACAGACAAGTTGCTGTCCTTTCTGTTCTTCAATCTAGTTGTGGAGGACGTCACTTCACTGGCTCATGTTGGTATTGTGATCATTGCGCTCTTCCGGGTGAGGCAGTTACTTGCCGGCCTCTGGACGGCTGCTCATGGGGGCTTAAGAAAATGCACGCCAACTGCCGGCCAGCCCCACTGCAGCCTACCGTTGCCGGCAGCTCAGGGCAGCCCAGCTCCAGGTCGAGCTGTTGTTCACCATCTTAGCTGTAGAGGGCAGCGTCACTGGCCCGCGTGTGGGATCCAAACCGGGGCCCTGCTGCTCAGAGCTGGTGTCCCAAGCCAACTCCTAACCAATGCGCCACTCGGCCGGCCCTGTATGCTTACTTTTAACCCTGCATTATGTCTTTAGGTCTTTTCATATCAATACATAGACATCTACATCATTCTGTTTTTTTAATTGTGATAAACACTCATATGCATAACATAAAATTAACCATTTTAACTATTTTTAAGTATACAGCTTAGTGGCATTAAGTACATTCATATTATTGTGCAACCATTACCACCATCCACCTCCAGAACTTTTTCATCATCCCAAACTAAAACTTTGTATTCATTAAACAATAACTCCCATTCACCCCCTCTCCTATCCTGGCAACCACTGTTCTACTTTCTGTCTCTGTGAATTTGACTACTGGAGGTACTTCTTATAAATGGAATCATACAATATTTATCCTTTTGTGTCTGGCTTATTCACTTAGCATAATGTCTTTAAGGTTCATCCATGCTGTAGCATGTGTCAAAATTTCATTCCTTCTTATGGCTGAATAATATTCCATTGTATGTATATGCCACATTTTGTTTATCCATTTGTCGGTAGAATTCAGCTATTTCTACCTAAATATTTTTTCTAATACTTTTAGAGGACTCTTTCCTTCTTCCTCCTTCTTCCCTGGGTAGTTTAATGCATGGGTTGGCACTATGAGTTTTACTGGAACATAGCCACACTCATTTAATTACAAATTTTCTATGGTTTCTTTTGTCCTGCAATGGCAGAGTTAGGTGGTTGCAATAGAGACCTCATGGCCTACAAACTTTGCTGGCCCTGTATTTAATCCACTGAGAAGTTATTTCTGTGAATAATGCAGGTGAGGCAGGTGCTTTGATATTGGAGTAGGTAGTTTCTGAAGGAAAGAAAGCAGAAAGAGCTACTGCTGAAGATCCCTCCCATACCTGGCTGAGGTCCTTTAACCAGTTAAGGCATATTAAACCCCAATTCTGTGTGAGATGCACTTTCTGGGCCACAGAGCTTGCCCAGCAGTTAGACAGCAGGGGCTGCCTTACCGAATACCTGCTTATGTAAGTAGTACATCACAGTGAAGAAATGACTATAAAGTGGTTTCCAGATTAAAAACAAGTGCCTTAACATAGAAACATCACTTTCTTGCACTGAGTTTCCTTTAAACCAAGTTTTGGGAGGACTTTGGACTAAATAAATAAGCCAGGAAAAGAACATAACCTGTGATAAAAAACAGTTTTTCCTTTCTGAAACTATTCCTCTCCCCAGAACAACAACAGTCACATGAAGTGTCATGTTTGCAATAAGAGTCAGACTCTGAAATGTTTGGTTGAGCAAAATAAACACCACCAATGGGGGCTCCGGGCTTGGCCTCCCACTCAATTTCAAACTTTCCAACAAATTCCAAGCTTCTCTCCTCAAGTTAGTCTAGCGGCCACCCCAGTGCCGTCTGAGAGAGAGAAGTTCTGGAATATTTAAGGGTTGATGATTAGGAAAATGCTTTGTGCATGAAAAGGATAAACTAATTTCTCAACAACGAGTGGGTGGAAGCTAAAACCCACAGAGGTTTGGCTTGAGTAAAACAGCAGAATAAAGCTTATGAGGGATTACCACTCAAATTGGTATGATTGCTGAGAAGTTACTTTAAGGGATCTGGTCAAATTTTTACCTTTTAGCCAAAAATCAATCTAACAATTTTTATTAAAACAATTACACTTTCATTGATATTATATAAAGAAATATTTATGTTTAAAAAAAGACCATTCTAAGTTTATAGATGCAAGGGGTGCAGATGGAGCTGTGCTCCATGTTGTGAAATACTATAGTAAGGGGCCCCTTTGAAGCTTGAAGTCTATTATTTTAAGATAAATGAGTCTTATTTTATGCAGCTGATAGCAAACTTACAGAATTCATTGTTCCACAAGACGATATGGGCATTTCATATGATATGGGATGATGGCTGGAACCCATAAGTAGATCACCAATGATAGAACCGTAAGGGGTCACTGTGGGTGCTGAGGAAGTCACTGGCAACTATGCTACACTCCTGATTCTCCGAGGTCCTGGACAACAGGAGAAACTGCCTCCATCTCCATCACTCCCTGTACCAGGACCGACTGGTGGTGCATCAACCACATACAGAACCCAGGGCCAGGTGGTCCCACATGGGTGACCTAGAACTGAGTCAGGGTCTTTTCTAGATGGCAGGAGAAATAAGAGGGAGAGTAGGCGGCAGGGCAACACTCACCACATAATCCACGACACAAGAACCATCGTTGCCTCATTGAAGGCATTGAAGAAACGAATGAGCTCTTCTCCTTCAGAGCCTATTTTCTTTAGGGCCACTCCTAACACCAGGGCAAAAAGGACCAATCCTAAAATGTTCATCCCTTCGATCTCAGTGCCAATGGGGATCTGTAGAATCGGAGAGGACAGAGGGTCTAAGTTTACAACAGAGGAGTGAAAACTAAAGATGCATTTGCTTGGTGCTTCCACCAGACTGAAACACTATGCCCAGAATGAGAAAAAGTTCATACGTGAATTTCTTTTAACCTGCAGCAGTTTCACAAATCAAGCAATAGGAAAATCAAGGGGAGATGGACTCTAAGGATATGGAAAGTCAACAAACAAAAATTTCACCTAGTTGTTAACTCTAAAAGCTGTTCAAAACTGGCATAGGTTGAAAGAGAAAGTAGTGAGCTCCCTGTCACTGGATATATTCAAGTAGAAGTTGGGTATTCACTTCAAAGGGTTGCTTTTAAAAGAAGAGGTGGTTGATGAAAAGCTCCTTCAGATCAAAAGTCAATGATTATAACTTTGCCTCCTAAATGTCAACAAATTCTTTGTTGCTAGGCTGTAATGATGACCTCCTCGCTGACAGATTTCAGAAAAGATTTTTTGAGATCAACATGGATAATTTCACGATATCACTGACTTAAAATGTATAGATACGAGGTCGGACAATTAAGTTTGCGAATTCATCCTAGAAAAAGTGCTACATACCTCATTGCTGAATATCACTATGGTCACCTTCAAAGTACTCCCCTTGGGAAGCTGTGCACTGACACCAGCGCCTAGTCCACCCTTCAAAGTAATTTTGGAACTCTTTTTCTGGAATGGCCACCAGAGCTATCGTCACATTACCCTTGATGTCCTGAATGTCATCAAAATGTCTTCCTTTCAATATTTCCTTTATCTTCAGGTAAAGAAAGAAGTCATTGGGGGCCAGATCAGGTGAGTAGGGAGGGTGTTCCAATACAGTTATTTGTTTACTGGCTAAAAACTCCCTCACAGACAGTGCTGTGGGAGCTGGTACATTGTTGTGATGTAAGAGCCATGAATTGTTGGTGAAAAGTTCAGGTCATCTAACTTTTTCATGCAGACTTTTCAGCACTTCCAAATAGTAAACTTGGTTAACTGTTTGTCTAGTTGGTACACATTCATAATGAATAATCCCTCTGATATCAAAAAAAGGTTAGCAACATCATTGCAACAAGTTCACAAACTTAATTGTCACACCTCGTATAATGGGTTCTTTACTTTTTCCAGTGATGTTGAATCTCACTACTGCAAGCATGTATTAGACAGACATTTTATTCCATCAAAACACTTATGAATATCTCAACAGGAACCATATGTCAGCATGGTAAAAAAACAGAAAGAGCATTTTTACCATAGTTCTAGTCCCAGCTCTGATATTAAATAAATTTTCTGAGCTTCAAGTTCTTCATCTTCAAGATGAAGTGAATTGGACTAAATTAGTAGTTTTCAACAATTTTTTTAAAAAGCGGAATGTTTCCTTCAAAGAAAGGCTGGTAGCACTCAGAGCCTCTCAGACCTGAGGAGGTGTATGCATGGGGTTGGGGAAAGGGCCAAGTACCTCCTTCTTCCCATGACAGTTCTGTGGCTGGACTGAAAAATCCTTGAGGTCCCTTGTCCCTTCCAGCTCTATCATGAAGGCTGGGACCTAGCCCAGTGTCTGGCAAACAATAGGTACTCAAAAAAAAAAAAAAGTGTGAATGATGACTAGAGTAAGTTAAGCCCCTCAGACAAGTTCTATATGTAGGGGTAGGTTAAGTCACCTATTAATTATATTTCAGGATAGCAGAAGGGGTGTTATAAAATACTTTTGAAAAAAGGGGCTGTTAGTTCCAATTTGGTGAAATGGGTCCATCCGCTAAATATTCCACAGCTACGGACACTGGCCTTTGGTGATGTTGGTAAATAACTAAAGGAGCAAACCTAGATCCTGTGCTTCAAACAGTCCACCCAAACTCCAAAGTTTACAGCATTGTGTACGCTCCTTCAATTAAGAAGCATTATTTGCTTTGTAAGTATTTGTCACAGTGAGTTTATAAAGAGCTTTACCTTTTCACGGGTTACGTTTCCAGTGCTTGTGTTGTGGATCACCTCTCTATAATCAGTTGCATACTGTGAGCAAGAGAAAAAAACACCCACTGTCAGTTCACAGGAGAAGATGGACCCACAGCAACCAAGAGCTCTGCTGGGCCTCTTGCTACTCCATCATTATTCGTTCCGAGTGTTCTGGGCACTTCTCATGTGGTTGGCCTGACAAGGCCTCTAAAAACTGTACAAAAGCAACGTAAGACCAAGGCAACATGCACTCCAAGAGTCCTCTGGGTTATTTAGGAACCCAAGGAAACAGGGAGGATTTCCTTATGTCCTTTGGATGGTGGTTTGGAGGAGGAGGTCTGCCCAATTTCATGCTGATGGTTTGATATTTCAAACAGCTGACAGTTCATATTATTTGGAGAACCTTGGTTATTAATTCCATAATGCCCAAGCTCACTTTTCAATGTGTCACTTATTTTCATTCATTTATTTATGCTCCACGTGGTTTCAGACCTTATTTGAACGCGACTGCTTTTCAGCATGTTTCTAATGTGCCTTGTGCCTCCACTCTCCAAAGGATGGGCAAGACGGCATTTTCTGGTGGAGTCTTCTTGGAGACCCACTTCTCAAAGGTGAAACTTCTCTCCAGCTGTGGCCCTACACTTGACTTCACATACTTCTGCACAGCACACACAGGCGTCTCCCTGTGGCAGCGAGCACTATCAAGTGGGATCTGTTATGAAACACCTTCCTGACCTTTTCTAAGGACGCCTGACTTCTGAACTGTCGAGAGCAGCACATTAGGAGGCATAGACCCGGAGGCCTGCTTTGTGCCCGTCTTTGAGGAGCTCTGATCTCTCTCAGCTTTGATTTATCAAGCTTTCAGACAGGCAGAGGTGTTTAGCAGTCCTGTGATCAAGGGTGGCAGGAAAAGAAAAACTCACCCCACAGCTTCTGAAACCCCATAAACCTTTTATTTCTCTCCTACTTCACATTGTATATTCAAGCTGCAGCTGTGCTTATATGCAGATTTCTTTTTTTTAAAGAGAGAGGTTGTAAATAGAAACCGAAAAGTCTTTTCTTGAAAAGGGCAATCAGATTAGTCCATCTAATCTAGACCTTTATATTCCTTCTCTGTGTAAAGCATGGCCACAGGGACATTACTTGCAGCATTGGTAAAATTAGGGAAAAACTAGAAACAACCTGAGTGTCCATCAACATGAGATTGATGGAGTAAAATTATGGTATGCTTATACAGTGGAATATAGCCAATAACATTATGCAAAAGCATATTTACCGATGTCAGAAAAGGACCACAATATACTGCCTTAAAAAAGAGCAGGTCGGGGGCCGGCCGAGTGGCGCGATGGTTAAGAACTCGCTTGGGATGCCAGAGGGCCCCGGTTCGGATCCCACATATGGGCCAGTGACACTGCCCTCCACAGCTAAGATGCTGAACAACAGCTCAACCTGGAGCTGGGCTGCCATGAGTCGCCAGCGACGACGTGG